AATTTTTGATTGCATTGGAATAGAATTATTCCAAGATCATTGTTCAGATTTTTTGATTGCATTGGAATAGAATTATTCTCAAATTATTATCCAGACTTTTTGATTGCATTGGAATAGATATGCTACGTTTCTAAAATATTGTGAATAGATGAAAGATATGATCTAATAATAAAAAAAAAATGCTTGAGCACACATTACTAATTATAAAATTGTTTGTTTAGGCTTTTTTGATTGCATTGAAGTAGGTGTATGTCACATTCCTAAAATATTATAAATATGAAATGTAAATAATAAATAAAATAAAAAGAACAATAATAAATTATAAAATCGTTCAAGTTCGTTGATTGCATTGGATAGGAGTATGCCAAGTTTCTGAACTATTATTAATTGAAAATTATATATTAGTAAAATTTTCTAAATCTTTTCTATTACATAAAATCATTGCTCATTACTACAATAACTATTTAATTTTCACACTATATCAAGTTGCTTCTTCATTTTTATATAAATGTAGCTGGTATATCTTGCTATGAATTCCAAGTAATAATTTTTAAAAAAATGAACTTAGAATCTAAAGAAAAGTGTAGTGACTGTAAATGCAAGCATTTAGTTAGTCAATTCTCTTGGGATGGTGTTTGACATACAACTTGTATTAAATGTAAAGAAAATCAGAAAAAGAGAAGAAATAAAAAAACTCTTCTTAAAGGAACCATAAATCCAATTGGTAGCAGCAGATCTGCTGATTAGTCTGAAACTACTAGTTAAGAAATAAGCCCTGACACTAATACTGTATGTTCTGAGATTAACTATCACGAAGTGGGAGATTTTGTTGCAAATGAAATATAGGAACTAGCAAATATTGATGGAGTGGCTGACACAGCTTACCAAATACATTTGGTAGTAAATATGAATATAGATACACAAAATATGATAGCAAAAGAAATTGCTAACCTTGTTATTACGGAAATAGAAGAAGGTGATGATTTTTTATGAATGTAAGCATATTTTTATTTTTTTTTTATTTTTTTTTACTTATTTTTTTAATTTTTTTCTTTTGCATATTATCATTATAGATATCAGAAAGTAAATGTATCAAAAAATTTGGCGAAACAGTTAGTAGGTTTTATTTGTATTGTCAATCTAAAGAAGCACAGAGCAAAGAGTATAAGGATTTGAATCGCAAATGGTGTATGTGTCTTGATTGTAAAGGTAAAGTTACAATATGATTAATATGGTTCTTGATGTTGCAAAGGTAGATATTTGCCATAATTGTCTTCATCCACGCTCAAATCTCTGCACTAAAATGTTAGATGAATTACTAGAATAGATTAGAAAATATGTACATCTTACTACAATTGAGTTGACAAACCACTTACATCACCAAGAATTTGACATTTCAAAATATTTGCACAAGCAAATATACTATTGGAAATCTATAGCAAATCAAAATCTTTATTAATGTTAGCTATAGACTGCTTGATGAGTACAAAAGTCAAAACTTTCATAAGTTTTTAGAAATACAAGATGCAAAGTCTATGTCCATTGCTTTGATGACACCTTTGCTAAAGGATATCAATGATCATAATATTAATATTAATAAAATATATGTAGATGCTACTTATAAGACTGCATGTGAGAAATATAAGCTTTATAGTGTTATTGTCGATGTCGAAGGTGCAGGGATTCCAATTGTCTATCTCATAATGGATATAATGAAAGCAGTAAATTCAAGTACCAGTATAGGAATGCATAGTAAAATATTAGAAAATTTCTTTAAAAATATAAAATCATACAATGTTCATCCACTTTTAGCATTTACTGACAAGAACTTTGCAGAAATAAATACAATATCCAATATGTGAGGTACTTCAGTGGTTCAGTTATGCAAATAGCATATGAACAGGTATTTAAATTGATAAAAAGATAGGTTAGTTTATTTTTATTTTATTTTTTTTATTTATTTATTTATTTTTTATTTATTTATTATTATTTTTTTGTTATATTTATTATCTTAACTTATTTTTACTTTTTTTTTTTAAATCACTTTTTTTTTTACTTATTTTTCGTTTATAATATTATCTAAATTATAAAATGTTTTAATAATACATATTCCTGTAAATAGAGCCATGAAGGTAAGTTGGAGAAAAAAGCAAAATTGTCAAAAAACAATAAACCAATATCTATAAATTATAATAAAAATGAAGCAGTTAAAGAGTTTGAATTTATTGATCTTAACTTTTACTTATTGAAATTGAATCATGATCTACAAACATATGTTGTCTGCCCACCATCATATTGAGAAACAATTTTAGAAATAATGAAACGCCAACTTAGCATACACCCATTAAAACTAGTTAATGTCCAAGGAAACACGATGACTCTAGAGGCTATTAGAGAAAGTGCAGTAAGAGAGATGTATCAGTTCTGTGCTAAAAATGAACTACAATTGCTTTGGGCCTACTTATAAACCAATTGGTATTCATCACAAAGATAGTAACTTTGGGCATGATCAACCAAATCAACTAACCTTATGGAAAGACAACTATGAAAATAGAGGCCCATTGGAGTGTAATTAAAAGGCATTACCTGTATTGGTTTAACCAGCCAAGATTAGATTTCTTAATGTGAACACTTCTTACTGAAGTGGTTTCAAAACAAAAAGACTGGTTTTCTCAGATTTTGGCTGACACTGTGAAACCACACTGGTGGGTAGACTTTAAAAAGAAGTAAATATATGCTGGTGCAAATTATTAAAAACAGGCAGAAATTCGTGCTAATAAACATAATAATCGTAAGTGTAGAGATGGATATGAACAAATAAAATTATAATTTGAACTTAAACCAAATTTAACTATTAATTATAGTTATATAACTAAAATAACCAAGGTGGCCTCTCCAAAGTTTGAGTTGATGATCATTGTCATTGCTGCAGCAAATAATTAATAAATAATTTTTATAGCTGTTTTGTATAAATAAGCCACAAATTGGCCTATGTTATATAATATATAATATAATTTGACTGGAATTATATATTACAGCAAAGATATTGATTATCAACCCGAACTTTCAGAGGGCCACCCTGGTGTTATCTAAAATGACTAACGAGCTACAATATTAGCATTAAATCAAACTAAAGTTGACACTCATTAATATTAATCTCATAACTATAAAATGAATTTCTATATATTAAAATTCCCTTATATATATCAACTTTAAATATGGCCTCTCACTAATATTACTGTCAATATAAATAAAAATGATCCAAATAGATTAATATTAACAAGAATCAACTGTAATCTAAAAGACCATAACTTAAGTTATTAGTTTTCTATAGTTTGAAATTAGTTAATATTTTAAAATTATGGTTTGTATTACATATATAATATATCGATACAATCAAATACACAACACTTATCTCTAACTCCCATTAAGCAACTCAAGCGCCTAGTTGACTCTAATTAAAATTCTTTCTAGGTAATGATTACTTTTTTGCTTGCTATTTTGGAATGTTATTGAACAAATACCAACTAGATTTTTATATCGAACTTTCCAAAAATAATAATAATAATAATAATTCATAGCAAGAAGAAAACTAAAATAGAAGATGAATATATATATATAACAATAAATTAAAATAAAAAAAAGAAATAGTGAAACAATCGCCTATTTGCAACATGAATATTCTTAAAATTTAGTTTTGATTTTCTTCATTTTCTAAAAGATCGATGAACTATTGCCATTAGGAACATTTTCAACTTCATTATTGAACATTTTTTCCTTATCAGAGCGATGGGAGTAAACAATGTAATTAAGAAATCCTGTTTGAAGAATGTCAACATACGCTTTTGTTTCTTTGTCAAATTTCTTGATTTCATTATCAAATTTATCAATATCTTCATTTTTGTTTTGGTTATTGTATTTGGATATTATTTCTTTAAGTAACAATTTAATTGCTGAGAATTTATCTTGGGCCATTTCAAGAATCTCAACGTCTATATTCTCTTCTCTATTCTCCTTAATATATTTATGTTTTACAAGATACACATCTTCATCAATGGTTATAAAAAGCCAATTAATGACAGAGGCATCATTGGTTTTACTAACTAGACTAACTCGAGATTTATCTGAAGCTTTAGATTTTCTAATCTCATATTCTTCAAGTTCGTCCTTATTCTTAATGTAAAAATGACCATAAACTCCATCAATATCTTTAATATCAATCTCTGCAAGAACCACTTTAGCATTACTCTTTGAAGGAACCATTTTAGCATTATTGGTTCCAAATTTACTAATGTCCTTAACTTTAACTTTTTCTTCATTGGAAAAGAATGAAACAGAGGAGCGAGTTAAGACTGTAGAAAGGAAAAAGAAAAAAAAATGCGTCAAAGTAAGGATGTGTACAAACAAAACTATATTCAAAAAGTAATTGTATTATGGAAATAAAAATTAAAAAAAAGAAAATTTTTTTTTAACACGAAACCGGTTATATGGTTTATGTGGCTTCATAAAATAGTTTATAATTAGAATAATAGCTATTATAAAATAAATCAAGTCTGTAGAAAGGCTTAGAGAAACCATATCTAATGACTCTGAATAACCATATTTCTCTATCTTAGCGATTATATCGAAATAATCATAAATTATGATAACAGTAGAATGTATCGGATAAAGGATAAGGATAAAAGTTTTTACGTATTCGAGAAATTTTTGGTGTTTTAAGTAATTATAGTTAAAACAAACAATAAAAATAGTAATCAGAAGAAGAGGGATTATCAAAAATGCTATCAACAAACCATAAACAATTGTATCATCTGCATTAAGATTTCTTGGAACTTTTGCAGTAAAATACCATGCAAACATAGGAGTTAAAGATAACGATAGAATAAATAAATCATCCAGTAAACAGGTCAAAAAATAGCCAAACTTAGACGTCACACCATATATGGCTACGTTAAATAGAATGAGAATGCCTCCGAACTCAATGATTTTTGACAATTGACTCAAGACAGTGGCGTGTACATTAAAGTTCGGTATAATTGCTCGGTGGACAAGTCCATTCCCCATTCTCATCTTTCATCTTAGGCGCGAATAGTTGAATCGCTTTTGCTGTGGGAAGATACTCAAAAAAAAGGCACAGGGCATAAAGATAAAAAATATAGAAAGTCTAGACCTGAACATAATGGAAAGATTATTGTTCGTTATTGTCAGTAATAAAAATC